AGTCACTGATAATGCCTCAAGAAGGCTATTTTTTGTTTGTTTTAATTAACACAGCCTGGAAGAACAGTTCCAACCTTTTGCATCCTTGTTCCTCTCCAAAGAGGTCTTCTCCATTTTAGTAATTCTCTAGCTTCCAAGCAATAAATAAAATAGCTCACCAACCTCTAGCAGAATGAGGTTGGCTTGCATTTCATTATTCAAAACCCTGCAGGGATAGCAGTAGTCTTATTTCTACTCTTAGAAAACCTGCAAGTACTTTATTGCATCTATTCCCATTCAGATATTAGTCCTCCAAGTCATCTGGTTGCCCTTAAAGACAAACACTTCAGCACTTCAAAAGCAAATCTGGTCCCTTGCACTTAAGTGAATACTGTACATTCAAATGATAAAGTCACATTTTCCTACAGGTCCATTGCTGAATATTTCTTTTCAGTTATAAATTAAGCTTATGCACAGAATTACACAGTGTGGATTTAAACTGATTTACTTAGCTGGACAATTTTAACACCCCACTTCTTTCCTCTAAATAGGACTACTGACCTCTGAGCTTAGATTCCTTCACGCCTTTTGGAAAATGAAAGCTGTTTTCTTCTCTCAAATGTGAAGTTAAAGGTACCTCTAGGAATAAGTACTAAGTTTTCTAGTGACAAACAATTGCATCCCTAGCTCAATTGTTTCATCCACAGCTGTTTTCAGGTCTTTAATCTCACACAAATGGAAAACACTAATAAATTAAGTAACACTGCATACTTACAGTCAGTACCATTTTATTGACCCCAATCAGTCCCAGTCCAATCCCTTACTACGCAAAGCTCATCTGTATGATATTTTCCATAAAACATTTTGCAAAAGTAAGGTTGCCTGAGTCAAAAGATACATCCCATATAGTGCACCCATTCTGTATGACCAGCAGTGGTCTGTACCATCATATCACCAAACTGCAGAGTGCTGCCAGCAGGAAGAATGAGTGAGACCTATATTCTGAGTATGAGTGCTGCATTACACATTCTTACAAGAATACTGCAAGAGCTTAGACAAGGGTTGCACACAGACATATTACACACCTTCCCTAAATCATGCTGCATGGATGCAGCACACCAGGCAGAGAATAGCCTCTGCTGACTTATCTGTATCTACAAGTAGAAACTACACCCACCCCAGATGATTTTTGTTCCCATCTTGACAAGAGGCTAAAAGAGATGAGCTTTCTGTAAGCAATTCAAACTATTTAAAGCAGCATGCTTGCTATTTTACAAACACAATCTGAATGAACTTAGGTTAAGCCAATACTTAACCTACTTGATACAGACTTGACTTAGTGGATAACCTGCTAGCTGTTACTACAACACACTATTCATGAATAAGATACTATATTTTCCATGTGTACACTTGAATTCTACTTGTAGCTACTCATGCAGCTTGAGAACACAGATTACGCTATGACAAAGTGAATTGAACAAGTCCATTGTAAACATGGCAACAGTGCATACCTGAAAATTTTCTAGACAACAAAAATTAAAAGAATTACAGAGAAAGCTTCAGATTTTACTTCTGCTTTTTTTTTAGTTTAGCGAAGGGTCAGAACATGGATAATTTATCTATCTGTTCATTTACTGATCATTATGATGGCCTTAAAGAGCAATAGAAAACAAAACTAACTGGAAATACTCATTAACAACCAGAAGTATCTAAACCAGAATTACAAGTAAAATATTTAGTACCACACTTCACTCTTGTGCTTATTCACAATGACTTCTTTAAAACAGCCCACAAAAGGTTCAACTCAAGTTGGTAGATGAAATGGTTCCACAAGAAATGTTAAGAATTATGAAACATGCTGCAGAAAAAGTAGTGGTTACCTCCCATGGTCTACATTCAGTCAGAGCACTCCTAATACATTTTGTCCTTTTTTAAAATAAATACTATCTCCTCATCACCCCCCTTCAAGGAAAGTTATCCACCCCAACCATTTGCCCACACTATACGCACAGTCTTAAGTTGATACAGAAATCACTATGAACCAGTCTTTCTGCTCAGCCTCATAATTCTTGTCTTCAAGTGATACTAGTCTTGTTGCTTTGGCTAAAGTTGACACATCTTTATGACTCCTTTACTACCTTCTATGAGTCCTCCTTGTTTTGTAGGTCTACAAAGACACTACATCACTATAGTGTGAAGCATGGATGTGAATAAGCATAACAGAGACAATTCAACCTTTAAGAATAAAAAATTATCCAAGAGTTTTGCAGACTCAAAATCATATACTCCAAGAAAAAGAAAAGCATTAAGTTCCATCTATTGTAATCTTCCCCAAGCCCTTCCAAAACAATACTGCTCCCTGCACAAGGAGCTGTAGAAGGGCAGTGAAAAGGTATAGAAGCAGTTTATGTAAAACCAGTCTTCAAGCAGAACAAACATTTCCAACATTTCCAACTACTGCTACTAAAAAAAAAAAAAGCACATACAGTTTCTTAACAGCAAGAGTATAAGAATCTTTGTACTCCTATCTTGCAGGGCCTGGATTAATTCAAGCATATAAGGAGTGGCCTAAGTGTCTGAAATCTTTTATTTAGAAGCAAGCTTCATTCTTAACTCTAGACCTTAGAGAATTTTAAAACCATCTTCACTCACGTTTGCCAGTAGCTGTTATTTCAACACAGTTACTTAAAAGAAGCAGCCCCAATTTGAGCCTGAAGATATTACCAGAAAACTAACAAAATCAAAACAGCAACATTTTACCATACATAAACACACTGCAACTTATACCTTTACTATTTAATTAGTGTCCAGCATTAATGAATCAGATGCCATGTTACTGAATTGCTGAAATTAGTCCTTAATGCAAAGCAGCTGTTTCTATCCAAGTAAGTATTAACACAAACTGAAGACCACTTCAGACAACACATTAGAAAGGTTAAGCAGTATATTCTCTTTCTTTGCAACTTCATGCCTATGAATTATGCCCCGTCCCTGGAGGGATGGGGGCATAATAATAATTATATATAAATAATAATATAATTTATGCCCCGTCCCTGGAGGTGGTGTTCAAGGCCAGATTGGATGGGACCCTGGGCAGTCTGGTCTAGCATTAGGTGGGATGGTTGGTGGCCCTGCATGTGGCAGGGGGGTTGAAGATTCATGATCCTTGAGGTCCCTTCCAACCCTGGCAATTCTGTGATTCTGTGAATTGGGAAAAGAGGTTTACAGGAATGCTGAACACCAGAAAGGCTTCAAATTACACTGTGTTGTTCGATCTGAAACAGAATAAAATATCACTATCAAGAAAACTTGTTTATACACAGAAATCTTGACTGTTCTTTATTTGTCACAACTCTGTCTGTTATGGCTAAAAGGATCAACTGATGCACACCTACGTGAAGCTGAACATTTAAGAGCTTGACAGTTTCCTGGGGATGGAAGACCTCTTCCTCAGTAAAGAAAAGTTTCTACTTTCCAGCTGCAGCTACCAATCCAAGTACCATCTTAACTTATTCTGCATGGCAAGAAGCTATTAGCAGCACAAAAGTGAGATTCCAAAGTAGCTCCTCTTTACCTTGCCCAGACATCTGGGAATACCAGGGTGATCAGATTCTTGCTGGAGAGAGAAATAACCAAAAGGAGCCAGTTCCTCATGTAGACTGTTGTGAACAAATGATGAACAGGAATAGATTCAGTGTAGAACTTCTACAACCATACTACAATCAACTGCTATGGCAGGAGACTGAATGAATGCAAAGTCATTTAGAGTCCTTAGGGACTGAAAACAGCTATCACATTTTGTTATCATTTACTACAGTTTTTCCACTTGTTTTTACAGCTGTCTTCATGTTCTAGCAAGCCTGAAATTGCACAAGTTTTTATTTTCAGCTTTAAATCCAGAAGATTATTCCAGAAGTTGGCACCAAGACCTGCACAACACCATTCAGGAGCCTGTCTGCTCATATTTTAAACTACTTCTGCATACATGACTTACTCATTTTACTGAGGGTTTTTTTCCCCTATGAGAAATTAAGACACAGTCTTTTCTAAGAAAGCATAAACAAAAACAGAGGAGGTAGTGAAGTGCAGAGGTGTTTGGAAGAAATTATCCAGGAACACAAAGAGAAGCTGTTTCTAATGGTAAGAGTTGCCTGATTTTTTTCTTCTTTTATTTAAAAGCACAGAACTGAATGTGAAACAGGCAATAGTAGAAAGAAAAGCACAAACAAGTCTAAAACTTATGATGTGTGAACAAACACACATCAATAATCTATGAACTGTATTTAGACTAATTTTCTATCACTTATGTTTTGCAAGTCAGTAGGGACTGAAGCATCATTAACAGTCTCTTTGCCAGCTAAAGCAAATAAATCCTTTCGTTCTGATAAATACTATTTGAGAAAACTGAAAGGTCAGAAACCTTAGCAAATTTGGCAGATGTTTCAATGCCAACCTCTCAAAACTCAAAGTACACTGGGTGAAACAGCTGTGGACCAAAACTCCGCTCTTCACCAGATGTGACTTCAGAATAGCACTGCTACATTAAGCAGGAGTCTTTTCCCTGCAACATCAACTCTATTATAGCAAGGGAAAAATATTCACTGATCTGTTTTTGAAGAAATGTTTGAAAATTTTTGATTTACGAATTTAAGGATTTTTCGTAGAATCACATAATCCTTAGAGTTGGAAGGGGCCTTAAAGGCCATCTAGTCCAACTCCTCTGCAGTGAACAGGAACATGCACAGCAAGATCAGCTTGCCCAGGGCCTCAGACAGCTTCACCACAAAAGTCTACAAGGACAGAACATTCACCACATCTCTGGGCAACCTGTGCCAGTGTCTCACCACCCTCAATGTAAAAGACATTTTCCCTATATCCAACCTAAATCTACCCCCTTTTAAGCTTGAAACCATTTCCCCTCGTCCTATTACCACAGACCCTGATAAAAAGCCTGTCCCCTTCTTTCCTGTAGCTCCTCTTTAGATACTGAAAGGCTGCTATTAGGTCACCTCAGAGCCTTCTTTTTTTTTTTTTTAAGCTTAGAGATAAATGCTTAGGACCACAATGTAAGCTCCAAAGTATCTACATTTGCTAGGACTTGGGGCACAAGGAGAACACAGGTTATGAAGAAATGTTACACTTTTATCAATGTAACAGGTTAATAAACCACCATTCTAGAACATATCATTGATTGAAAACTTGATTTAAATTTTACTTCAAGCATTTTCAGCCCTTTCCTAGTTTTAAAACAGATGTCTTCATTGAAGTTCAGCTCATTTAAAAGATTATACACTTCCCAACTACACTTTCTTCCCTTCATTTAAGACGCAGCGTGGAAAGACTATACTGAAAGAGTAAAAAATTACTCCAGCAAACCATGACACTGTAGAATGAAACTGCTTAAACTACTCAAGCTTAAGATGAAGGCAGCTTTCAAAATAAGACAAAGTAAAAAGCGATCAGGAATGTCTGAACATTGCTCTTATATACACTCTTCAATTCAGTAGCAAATCTAAATATTTAAAAAGCCCTTCCTACAGACATGAGCTCTGTCAGATCCTTCCCAGGTGATTCTTTCTTAAGTATAACATATGGACAAATGAAAGGATCTCGAGAGCTTGAAGAATGCAAGCAACTAATCTAGCCCTGAGAAGGGCAACTTCTAAATTTTATACTCAGTTTAAGTGAAGAAATCTGTTTTAGACCACACACGCAATTGAAAAGTAAATCCACTAGTACTTCCAGAACATAGCAACCCAATCTCAGCAGTGATTAACACAGCTAATTGGGTCTTATTTGTTTCTTTAAATAAGAAAAGAGCATCTTAAACAACACCTGGAACATTGTCTAGTCGTACCTAGAACACAGATCATTACCAAACTTACAAATGAGTAAGTGTGGTTGGCCACCTGACTACCTACCCTACAGCTTTATCAAGTCATATTTCTAAAAGAGAACAGCCTCTAAGCTATTAAGTAAACTGTCTCACATGGGTAGAAGGACCAATAAAGTCAATAAAGACTTTCAGCTAAGTGAAGTGGAAGCAAACCTGCTAGCTCAGTGAGTATTCCATAGCACGTAGTTCAATGTTTTACTAGTATTTTTCCCCATAATAAGAACTCCACTGAACTGGGGAAGTTAGTACAGATCAGTATTAAAGACAACTACAAATTAGTTTGATTCATCAAGAAATAAACCTATCTGCAATTGTCCCCTTCACACACACTAACTGAGGAAAGTAAAATCTCACCCGTGTCATTTTAAAAAAGTCTAAAGACGGCCTGTTCCATCGTACATCCTCCTCCCTTCTGCGCTTTAGCCGGCTTTTCTTTTCATTCAGAACACAAGGCTGAGAGCGGCACCTCAACAAGCCCTGACGTCGGCTGAGCTCGGGTGTGGAGGTGGGAGTGCTGTTGGCTGAAGGCAAAAGATTCCCGGTCTCAGTGATGTGCTCCTGGGAGAGGGAGAGGCGACGCCTTGGGTTAAAGTCACAGGGCCCTCCAGAATTCCAGCGGGTACTGGAACTCGTGCTTCCCTCGCTGCTGTCCACAAACCCGCTGCTGGCAGAGGAAGGTCTGGGTACTGGTGATGTGTTGAAGCTGGTGACGGTGAAGACGTTATTGAGGGACAGTATGTTTTGTGGCAGGCTGATGCTTGTGCTTCTCTGCAAGGTCGCACTTCCATGACTGTTGCAGCGTTGCAAGGTCGCGCTGCCACCGCTGTTGCATCGTCTCTTTGACACGGGAGTCCAAACCTTTGAATTGCCAGGTTTCCAGGGTGAGCGACAGCGAGCCAGCTCATCTGGCTCCGAGAGGGACCTGCAGTGGCGTTTTGTGGGTGGTGCCAAGGGCTGACCCGAGTTTTCGTTGAGGTTTAACTCACTGATCCATCCTGACACCATGGATGTGCTGGAGGGTTCCTGCTGCCACTGCAAAGCGCCATTGGTGGCAGGGCCGGTGCTGAAGGGGCACACTGGGAAAGGGTAGGCAGAATTCCTGGCATCAGTCTGGATGGGACAACCCCCATTTAGAGCTTTCCAAGGACTGTCTTCTAGAAAAAAAAAGATAGAGGTGATAGATGGGAAGGAAAAGGTTACTTGCTTTATGTCTGGTTTAATGTAAAGCCATTACTCAACTCAGGCTTAGAAGAGAGCCACAAATACCCAGCTCCTAATCAACATTTAGAAGTGTAATTACAAGGTAGATAGCTCCAAAACCATGAAGACCAAGTATTTCAGGGACCACTCCAGGCACTCCAGTACACATGCGAGTACCTAGTTAAGCCTTTTTGCTGTGTATTAAAGGATAAGAGCTCTATTTCTTCTCCATGAGCAACAGTAACAGATTCATTATCTGCTTTTCTAGTGCACACCATACAACAGAAACTAAAACCTGCAGCAGTGAACCAAAAGTATAGAAGTGGATTAACAACCCTTGTGAAACCCTACCAGGATTTCTATGTTATTTTTATTTAAAAGAGAAGGATAATCTGTTCATATACAGCTGTCTCTCATTTGGCTGTAATACTTCTCCATTAAGAACACCTTACTATAAGAAAGTTTCAAAGAGATGAGTGCTCGCATTCCATGCTGTGAATAGCTTTAATTTAAATTGGAAACAGTATAAAGCTATTTTAGACTGCACAGTGGTTTTTTTTTTTTTTTTGCTCATATTCAAAGTATCAGAGAAAAAAAAATCTAAATTCAATGCATTAAAATAGTGAGGATGCCTTCAGAACCTCCTGCAAGTTTTACTGTGAATACAGACATAACGTGTAGTGCACAACTTCTCATCTGAAGTGGCAATGCTGGGTTAAAAGAAGTCTGCCAGTGAAGCCTCTCACTCTTTTGTAAAGCATTTCTTTGAGAACATTCTGCACATTTTACAGCTGTTCCTCCACATTATACAATGAAGTGTAAGAAGAACTACAGCAGACTTTGGATTTGCAAATTGAAAAGCAGTAAAACTGTTGGCCAGTTAGCAGTGCTTCATGCTTGGTTAGAAAATTTGCTAATTTAAACCAATTAGCCAAGGAAGCTTCACTTATCCCAGACTTAAAGAATTATTTAAAATAAAGGTTTTGTTTTTTTTTTCATCTAGACCTCTTTTAAGTGTCTAGAATATAGCCTAAATATTAAATACCTGTGTTTTCTTACAGTTTTAGAATCAATAGATGAAAGTTTTGCAGAGTAGCTTTAAAAATTACAAATCCAAATACTTGTACGTGTTCCTTGCCCAAACTATGTCATGGATTATCCTGCTTATTTGGATCTTATTTAAAGAACACCCTATTGTCTCAAAATCATTTAACTGTGCAGACAGCTGGCCTATTCAAACAACATGTTTTATTAGAATTCCTCTGTCCTTCCTCCTCCATTCTTTCAAATGGGTACAACCACATACTGTGCTTTGCCTTAAGCACGTAAGCTCTTGAAGGCAGAGACCATCCATAATTCAATGCAAGTAAAATAGCCAGCACAATGGGATCCAGATACTGTTTGAAACTCCTTGCATCTATTGTAGGACAAATTTTTAGCTTGGACTGGATTGATTTTAAAAAAAATCCTTAGGAAGCCTACTTCTAGGATAGAAGATGATTTAAAGTTTGCTGTGAAGAAAAGGCAGGAGTTGCAGATGTGCTTAAATCATTCACATGCTATCAAAAAATATTATTTTGAGATAAACTATTATTTCCCTTTGGAACCTCATACAAACCATGCACCACGCTTTAAAGGGAATCACACTGAGGAAGTAAGAATTGCCCATGCTTTAAAACAACAGAACATACAGCGTTTCAAATCCATCCCTTAATAAAGCACCATGACATTTCTGTGTATCAGTTAGCATTGTTTTGATTATTGGTGATAAAGTTTACTCTTAACAGGATCAAGGGAATATTGATTAGGGAGGGGGAACTAATGCACTCAAAGCACTGGACACGAGTTCATGGTTTGCATCGCACTGCATATTCTGTGTGGCAAAGCCTGCAAGAAGGTGTGTAAAGAGGTTAGAGATTTCCTCCAGTAGAGGAGATGTGCAGTACGAAAACCAGCATTGCTGAGCTTCTGTACACCGTAGCAGATAACATAAAAAGTGTTACCAGGGCTTTTACTATGCAAAGCAGATCACACGTACAAAACTAACAACCAGCTATTCCCAGTATTGTTCATAGACCAGCTTAAACCAGCAGGCTCTGCAACTGCATGCTCCATCCCCCTCACCTTATTTACAAAAGAAAGGCTGCTTGCTATACCAATTACCTCAGTAAAACACAGCTAAGGCTTCTGAAGAACTTACCGTTGATTTCGAAAGAGAACAAGCTGCCACTTTTGTTCAACTTCTCAGATGAGTACTGAAATCAATCAGAAAAACAGTTTTAACTGTGTGAAAGAACCAGCATACACCCCAAGGAAAACACATGCAGTTTTCAGTTTCATTTTATGCGCCCCTAACAACCTCCTTAAAAGGAATGGGTTTTTCTGGGTATCTTGAAGAAATTCCTGAACAGCAGATCTTTCTGAATGAAAACTCTGAAGTTTATCTATTGGCAATATTTTCTGATACACTGTTAAGTGTCAAACTGTTGCAACATTACCCTGTGTGAGTAAACTGCAGAATTAAGAACGAACATTCCCTCAATGAAAAAGCTTTGATTCAATTCTCATTACAGTGGTCAGATTTACAATCTGACAACTACATTTCCATGCTCAATCTTAATGCTAAATAGCAGAATACTTCACCTTAAATGAATGAGGAATAGCTTTAGATAAATTAAGCATACAAATCTTAAAGGTCTCCACTCTGAACTTCATATCCAAGACAGGCTTTACTCTCATTTTACATGTTCTTAAATACCAGCACAGCAAAATGTTTCCTTGTTTCTGAAAGTTAAGAGTCATTAAGAAGTATATCCTGTCCAAAACTCATCTGTAGCATAGTTTTTGAATTCATACAGTTTATTGGCAATAGTTTATCAGTCTGAAACAACATAAAACCCCTTCTTAAAGTTTGTGTGTAAAGGCCTTCAGAATTTAAGATTAAGCTTTGTCAGTAGCACTTGTGCAGTAATACAGGCCTATCTTTGTGTAGGGCAGTTTACATGTGTTTAGTGAATTTCACCTAGGCAGAAAAATCACTACACGGCATTGTTAGAGTACAGGTTTCTCAGGCATACAGGATGCTGAACAGCAAGCTACAAAGAAAGTACTTGTAAATAAAATGGCTTCAGGCCCAGCAGATCCCAAGGACCATACTTTATTCCTCTACATCAGCATCTCAGGATGGAGAGAAAGATTACTTTTATATGAATGTTGCTCTTTTAAACTTGTTTTAGGGTACAAAGACATCTGTACTGTACACAGACGTCCTTACCAGACAATTTTTTAAACAATCATTGGTCTACAAAGCTTTTGTTTCTTGCGTTATAGCAACAGAACTGAATATTGCTTATGTACTTCAATCTTTGAATTCCTAATGTGACAAATACTAAGCTCTGGCAGTATTCCCTCGGTGACTTTGTTTTGGAGTAAGGGAATGGATGAACTGCTGGAAAGGACAGACCACAGTCAGATTATTAACTTTATTTCATATCAAGGTCAGCATATGAGAGAAGCCATTTGCATCACCTTTTTCCTTGCATTTACAGATGCATTTATAGCTTCCTACTTAAAGGAAAATACTTTAAGCAGCAGAAGTTCGAAGCTCCATCCAGTTTGCAACTGATGAGTCCTTCTCAGAAGATTTAAGCCAAACTTGAGAGCAAGGGCTACCACTCTCACTAGCTTGCCTTTTGTAATTGCAGTTGTCAGTTATGTCAAACACACTAATAAAGCTAGTATCAATAATTTACTAAACAACTACTAAGATAACATACAGAACACAAGAATATATTGAGATAACAGCAATGGCTGTGTTTTATCCATCTCTGAAGGACAAAAAACTTAAACATAAGGTCACCCAAACTCCTTCCTCTCTAGTTTTCCCCAAATCAATAACAGCATCAATCTATTAACTATCCATTTATAATTAAGGAAAATATATATTGGAATCAAGTGCCGCATTGAAGTCTTAAAGCTAATTCATCTCAAGTCACATGGAAAAGGACAATGATTTAATTATTAGGGTTGTTTAAGAGACTGTACACACAGACTAAGATCTTGGATACGTAGAAGGATCAGAACCTCAAGGACAATCCCATGTGAGCATCACTAGGTTGCTATTTAGTTTTTGCAAACATTTGACCAAACGCATCTTTCACAGGGTGCTCTGCACAAATGTCTGTTTCATTTTCTATAGTCAAACCACCTTAGGAAGCCTTGTCCATAAAATAGAAGCCACTCTACTGCATCTTCGACAGTTGAAAAAAGCATTTTTGAAAGGGACTTGAAAAAACTGGCTGCACGTGCATAGATCATCTGCACTACAGGGAATGGCTGCAGTGTTCTTAACAGCCAACAGTTCCATCCTTAGAGCTATTTCTGAGCAGCTTCTAGGGAAGTCAGTGCTCAGTTCTGTGAGATAAGCACATTACAGCTACAATTTGTTCTCTGAAGTGATCACTTATACAGAATCCTGTAAAAATCACAAAAAGTGTCAATTCTTTGGAGATTGAAACCAAGGAGCCCCATTAAGTGTGACATCTGATACTGAATGCAAGAGAAAGGAAAAAGTGCATCATTTTCAATAAAAGCTTGATGCAGTGAAATAAGGGGGTGAAGAACCTCTCTTACACGTACTTGGGATTTCTGTAACTGAAACTAAAAGTATGTGGAAGATTTACCTGTTAGTGTATTATAATGATGTCTGTAAGTTCAAACTTGAGCAGAACCTGTAAAGCTATAAATTGTTTATTGCAGTTAGGATCTTTTTTATCTATAGAGAACATGGCAGATGTCCCACTAGGTTTACTGTAACAAAGCCCTGAACCAGTTTATCAGCTCTCCTGTACTGCCTACATACACTGCTTTCTTCCAGTCAGCCCTTTCATAGGAAGAACTACTTGAAGCTTCCTGAACAAAGAGTCTTTTTATATTTTTTTATGATTTAACTGGAAAAAAGATAAGCAGAGTTTACAAAGCAATGGGGAAGTCTGCTAAGTTCTGTGTGAAGGACACTTTCTTTAAACAAGGTCAAGTTATTTAATCAGGTCTTTTTCCTGATAGACTCCAGAGCTCAAGCATGTCCATCTTCCAACTATTGCTTTTTGAACGAATGCCTAAAGAAAAACAACAAGAAAACATGTATTTTATCCTGAAAAGCATATTTCTTAATCCTCACAATCTTAAAATTAACTTGTCAATGCATTTTCTCCAATTCAAGTACATTTGGAACTCCTCCAATTAGTTGGCTCTCCTCCCAAACCACAGGAAAGCCAGAGTATACTATTCGAGTCCTAATTTAACTACCACCATGTAAGTGTGACGTCCATAGTTTGAATAAGTCCCCAAATCAGACTTTCATTTCTACCAAACACCTTCTAATTATGACTAGCTAGAAAACAGCATGAAAAAGTGTTTCATCTGTTATCAGCACATGAAGTGATCAAGTCACATTTTAGACTTGGCCCTCAAGTCTTTCTACCAGTGGCTTTTCATCCAAAGCCAAGACATTCTCAACAATATTTGAAAAGTCATGGGAGAAAGCTCAAGTCCCTGGTGACAGGAAAAAGGCAATATAGCACCCATTTTTAAGAAGGGTAGAAAGCGTGACCCAAGGAACAACTGACCAAGCTAGCCTCACCACAGTGCCAGGGAAGAACATGAAGCAGATCTTCCTGGCAGATATGCTAAGGCATATGGAAGAAATGGGAATGTTATGAGATTACTAGCACAGCTTCACTGAGGGCAGATCCTGCATGACCAACCTTGTAGTTTTATGCTGGTGTAACTGCATAAGAGAAGAGAAGAGCCATTGATATCATCTATTTGGACTTCAGTACAGCCTTTGACACAGTTCCCCATTGTTTGATGGACAAAGAGCTGGTTGTGAGATCATACCCAGTGAGGGGTGGTCAATGGCTGAATGTCAGGATGAAGACCAGTGATAAGTAGCGTCCCTCAGGAGTCACTACTGACTCTGGTGCTCTTTAACATCTTCACTAGTGACATCAACAGTGGAATCAAGCACACCCTCAGCAAGTTTGCAGATGACACCAAGCTGTGTCGTGCAATTGACATGGTCAAGGGATGAGATGCTATTCAGAGAGACTTAGCTTGAGCAGCAGGCCCAGTTGTCTTGCACCTGGATTGCCACAACCCCCACTAAGTGGGAAGAACGTAAGGCTCGACCACAGTTCTGCCAAAAAGGTTTTGGGGGGTACTAGGGGATGGAAAGCCGGACATGAGACAGCAATGTGCCCCTGAAGTTCATAAAGCCAACTCTGTCTTGGGTTGCATCCAAAGAATAGTGGTCAGGGAGACCTCAGAACACCTTGCTGCTGAGACAGCCAAACTATTCTACTGTTCTACTTTGAGCTACCATGGTCACCTGAGATAAAAGTTTGGGATAACCTAACACCCTAATCAGAAATCCCTTTCTGCTTCTACAGAAGGAAAAACAATCCTCTTTCTTTCAACTCCCACAAAGGCAGGCACAGCACAAGACCGTGTGACAATTATAATTGAGCACAGATTGATCAAATGTGGCTTGGAAAATTACTATGTTGGTTAACAGAGCACTAAGAGAAGCTATAGATTATATACTACAACACACTTAGACAAAAGCAAAGAAATATAATTTGTCATTGTACAGGTTTCACAAATGAAGACGTGTATTATATCCTATATATGTTATCTTCATACAGAATGGTAGCCACAAGGTAAATGTTAAGTTCTTTACTATGAAAGTGGTGAGGTGCTGGAACAGGCTGCCCAGAGAGGTTTTGGATGCTCCATCCCTGGAGGGGCTCAAGGCCAGATTGCATGGGGCCCTGGGCAGCCTGGTCTAGTATTAAATGGGGAGGTTGGTGGCCCTGCATGTGGCAGGGGGGCTGGAAATTCATGATCCTTGAGGTCCTTTCCAACCAGGGCCATTCTGTGATTCTGTAAACGGCTTTCAAAGAGCCATTCCTTTTTCTTTTATAGCCCTAACTTATGATCTGTATGACTTTCTTTTTTCCCTGCTGGCTGAATACATGTAGTTTTGTTCTTCAGACAAGTAGATACTTAGGAAAGGCAAGTTCTTATTCTCTGCACGAGCTAGTAAAGTATTTTGTACAACTAGAAGAGAATTCTTCTCTTACAAAGTCTTAACTCAATGAAAATTCATCTGTAACAGTACATTTTTCTTCCCACAAAAATATACAGGAAGAGAGCCATGCCAGAGCCTGAGAAGTCACTCTGATGAGGGTGAATAAGAACATGTTCAAATGAAACAACCCCCTTCCTCCAAAACGCACTCCTCACTTCCACCCAAGTCAAAGTAGTCTTAATGGCTCTTTCTTGATATTAGAATCTACGGAATTATTTTCATATATTTTCTTCATATTGCAGAGAAAAAAATACAATAAACTCACTGAGTTCTAACTGCTCAAACTATAACAGCTTCTCATCAACTACCTGCAAAATCTAGAAACTGCTCAAAAAATATCCACGTAATTCCTCCAGAAACAAAAGAAAAAGCAAAACTGTAAGAAAATGACTCTTAAGAGAATATCTATAGGGAAAAAAAAGTAATTGAAAAGCTTGAATAAAGGAAGAGACCTTTTTAAAAAAGCATATTTCACACTGCTACATGGGCTCAACAATCAAGCAGGTATTTTATCAAAAATATTTTCCTGTTGACCACTCTGACCAACTCAAACTTGTACTTTTATAAAATTGTAATCCAACTCAGAGGCCAGCAAACATTACTTTGCTTAGGAAAACTTAAACAGGACAAGCTTCCGGAACAGCTTCTCCACTCCTACGTTCACGATTAAAAAAGCCTGAAGTCTTCTGGGGGGTATTTACAGGTCTTTGAGACCAACAGAAGCTATGTGCTTGAAGAAATCCTAGCAAGCTCCCAAAGTTCAAGTCTAGACTTAGCTTCAGAGTCATCTCAAGTCAGCATAAAATAGCTAGGGAAAAGAGGAAATGTTGGTTTATCTACTTATGCCAAGACATGCAGTTATGCAGATGCAGGATCATGAAACTGATAAGACAACGTTAATCCAGGCAAGAGAGGTTAGTTTTGATCCTGTCAGCTCATGAGATGATTCACTGCATGGTCCCACAAACTTGCGGCAGCACATCTGAAGTAAAGTGCAGACAAGACTATTTAAGAACTGTTTCTACTATTAACAACAGCAGTTTGAAAACAGAACATTAAGATGAACTTCTTGCCAAAAAGTCTACAAAATATGCTACAGTTTAGTTATGGTGGGGGGAGTTGAATCAGTCTTCTCCCTTACTAAAATTTTATAACCCTTGAAAGTGAAGTGTACTCTGATCATTAGTAGATTCAAATTTTACTCAGGAAGCCATCACTGATTCTATGAATCCTTTTAAGGGAGGAAGCAAGCTAGTTGTGTAGCTTTCTTCCCACTTGCTTATCTTCATTTCTACACATCACCCCATCATTTCCACACTTCAAGCTGTCGCTGTCCATAGACAGAACCTACCCCTGACCTCAGAACCCATCTTCCTTCAAGGACTAGAGCATTTACGTAACCAATTACTTGATGGTTCAAAAGGGGGAGGAAGGAAGGAGATCTATGCACTGAGAGGACATCATTTGTCATTTTTATGTTCACACCAGTAATTTCTCTCTTTGTTTTACTTTAAAGACAGATAAGCAACAGGAGAGTGGTGGAATCACATTGTGAAAGTATTCTTGCATAAAGTCCACGTTGTGTAAAAATAGTAGTACATCCTCCTCTGCTCTAACAAGTCCCTGGTCCAAAAGCTACAGTGACCACCAGTAAAAGGAGGTCTCAATTCCTAAAGTTCTGCAAATTTAAGTGGCTCAAACTATGAATTACAAGCTGCTCACTACATTTTAGCAGCACTAACTACAGGTCATCATTCACCCACATCTAGGCCTACAGTTTAACTAGAAGTGACACAAGATTGCCACTTCATGATGAAAGCAGATCCCCCCTACAAAATGCCTATCCCAAGTGCTTCAACATGCTAGCTGAAATAAATGCAAGCTAAGTATTTCTATTTTGAGATATCTTGTTTCCCACATTTTACATATGCCTTTCAAGAACTACACATATTTCAGGTAGGGATTCAAAACCATGCAAATTATTAGAAGACCTCTAAAGGGAGCTGTTCAAGTTTTAAAAACAAATATTAAGAATAGTGCATACTACTAGATATCTTTTTTATCAGGTTGCATGTGATTTCTTTGCAATGCAGAGGAGTAAAGCACTTCACATGCAAGAATTAAGGTATTTACGCACAAGCTCCACTGTCTGTGACTGACCAGACTTGTACTTGTGAAGTATATAAGGAAGCTGTTCTGTTACTGAAGTACAGATTACAACACAGGAAGAAGTCTTACTGCTAAAAGTAACTGAACATGCCTCAGGTTCAGTGTTTGCATTACTTAATAATTAAATAACAGAAGCAGAGTTTAACAGTACTTTGACATTTAGTCATTAATTTCCCCTCCCACCCCTGTTCCATTAGTGCCCTACAGTGTCACCTGCAGAATTGCAATTAAAGTCAGTGAAACAAAGCTGCTGCAGTGCTATACTGCTTTGCATTTTAAGCACAGTATGGTATCAGGTGGGCACTCAAGATCAAGAGGAGACTAACACGGGACACCTTTTCTAAAACTCTCTCTGGAATAAAGTTAATCTAATTTCACAAATCAGATGTGAAGATAATTGATTCCTTAGTCTGAATATCACACCTGAATTGCCCACAGGCAATATACAGAAATAAACACTAAATATTACAGAGCTTTTCCAAGCACACTAATCACCTGATAAAGCAAGGATCTACTGATATAGATCAACAAGCCAATGGTCAGGAATCTTACTCTCAGTTCACCTGTGTTCAGTAGATGGTTATCTTCTTTTCCTCATGCTGACAGCTACCAACAAGTGGTTTAGTTATAAATATCAGTAACAGCATTGTCAGATATCTAGCACATACAAAGCAAAGAAAGTTTCAGATACCAGTATCTGAGGTTTCGTTGAAGGAAAAAAGAATATTAAGAAGCCTTGATAATTCTTCTTCTGTTATTAGTACATATGCTTTCAACTATTTAAGTGAAAACAGTTTCTTATTGTGATTATCTTTTAACCTTCTATCTCCTTAAATCAACCACACAAAATTCACATTGCTTTCCCCCTTAGAACTTCAATCTACATGACAAGGTAGTCCGGCTGATCTACACTCTTGAACGTAGTTTTGAGTTGCCTTTGACTGCAATGTATTTCATATTTACACAATATTGATACATCCTTACCAGATTAATATTGTATGTTTTACACGTCAGATCATCCAAGCTCTGGTTCTGCAGCTTTTCTGTTATTAGTGTTACCATTGTAGTTGTTCCTTTTCTACTGCTCACACAGAAGTGTTGGAGGCTCTTAGGTGTCCTGTTTCAGCAATCACAAGCCATTTCTGTTTTGGTTTAAAGTCTTGAGATTTAGGCTTCCATCTTATTGCGAAAGTTTATTTCCAAATGCTGTCAGTGTTTCATGTCTGCTTTTCTGTAAAACTGAGACAGAAAAAGGAAGAAATCAGAAACATTACTGCATACATCATAATTAGTATTGTCATAACATGACTTGTTTGGACCAGGAAGACATGAGCACATCCTGCATTTAAAACTACTACACTGAAAATGTAGCCAGGTGTACTACAACAGCCTATGAAATGTGCAGCTACGTGCCATACTGCTGTATGTTCAGCAAGTTACACCATTTTGTTTCATCACTAAACCCTTCTTAAAAGAAGAGCAGAACAGTGGGTAGCTCGAGTGCTCCAACAACTTTCCAAACCCTCTGCTACTTTTAATGCATTCCTGTGGTTTTTGTTGGTTTTTTTTTTTTTTGAAGGCTATGTAATCGCTGTCTGTCAGCAAACATCAGATCTTAACCTGGTAAGCAGGAGATAACCATACATGTAAAAACATCACTGACAAAAGCTTAGATATTTATATTCTGTGAGCAATCATTTGGATCAAGAGGAGATTTGATCTCTGCCTCCTTTCCTAAATGTAGAATCATAAGATCTCTAGCTTTCTTCCCTTAGCATCAGTAACCTTTAACTGCTACAGTTCGTTCCTCACTGTCTTTCCAACACTCTATATTGGCTTGTTGCTTATACCACAGCAAGTCACTTTCTTTTTCCTCAATTTCACCTAATTCTTCAACAGTTTGCAGAGAAAAATGTAATTATTTTCTTTCTTCTATCACAAAACTCATTTAGGCTCAACATGGTTCTCAAATCAGCTTCCAGTTTTCAAAAGCAAGTTTGCATCAATAGCAATCACAGCTTCTCCATACTTCCAAGGAACTTCTTTCAGTAACTCTGCCTTACTGGCTTAACCAAAACATCCTTACTAAACTGCTGATGATCCACTACTGCATGCACTAACCAAACTCTTGCTTTTATAACTGAGAATTGCTGAGTATATATTCCATGACTGTAGTTACCCTTCACAGAATTAAGAATAAATCAATACACAAGTACTACCAAATTCTAACAAAGCAAAAAAAAAAAAAAAAAAAAAAAAGAAAGGCTTGAGGAAAGAATACAGCTAAGTTTTAATTCAGAATTTTGTTTTCATTTGCTAGATTTTAAAACTCATGGTAGAAACAAGTGGCAGAAAAACCACCGAAAATTTGTCTGCGTAAAATACTCTGTCCTTTCCCCAGTGTTCCTTATCAGCTGTTTAAGCAACTATTAGTAGCAAGAGAAAAGTCACTTGAGTTCATGATCCAAGTTGAACCCACTTAAAACTTTAAGTTATTAATTGCCTTGCGCAATTACCTTTGAAACCTGTTATCTATTTGTTAGCTCAAACACGATTTCATACGCTGGCCATGCACTGTGTCACCTTCACAGACAACTATTTTGCCAGTCTTCTGATTAGGCTGAGAGGGGCTGAAAATCCTAACTTCTGACCATCCCTTCATCCCCATCCTCCTATCTAGTTTTATGTTATGCTTACATCAATATATTATGCTACCCAGGTATCTGGATACGTGGAGACATTTTACTGAGTGTGCCCTACCTTCCCAAAGATTTGAAATATTTCCCATCTCTTGCTCTGAAATCACACCGAGTCAAATATCAATAGTGTTCAAGTTCATATGCTCACTGGTAAAAGTTACAGAAACCCTTTCCAAAGTTAGCATCTGCCATGGAAAGTGTGATTCATGAAAAGTGAGCAAGTTTAAGGGCAAACGTGAACTAAGTATTACTTGAAGTAGCATGCTCAAGTGTATTGTAATGCAAAGGGACATCTGTGTTCCTTCCAGCCCTGGTAAAGTTGGAACTAGATCTAGAAAACCAGAACACAATTAAAATAAAAACTGATTGGATGGCATAAGTCATCCATATGCTGCCTAAAAATATTATGAAAACAAAGGACCTAGTAACCAGCACAAAGACTTTCAGATTATTTTGAGGATTAAGATTACTGCAGCTAAGAGGCTACTATTAAGAAACAGCTGAAAAGTTCAGCAGGTGCTTAATTACTAAGCTTAAGGCTTTTGAGTTTTTTTCCCCACAGAAATAGAAGAAAGCAAATCCAATGAAGTTATGGAAAAAAAGAGGAGGAACAAGGTTCTAATCTGTAATCAGTTAGCTATATAACGTATTTGTATTTTGCTCAGTCTTCTAATCTTCAAATGCTTCACTGGAAAATTTTAAGTGCGCATAGCGCAAAGAAGAAAATAGAAAGGCATTAATTTTTAGTTAATGGACCAATACATTCAGTTACATGAGAGGATAATGGGGAGACACAGTTCAGAATCAAACTGAACCATACAATGATCATCCATTTAAACCCTTCCTGATGTTGAAAGTAATACTCGATTTACAACCATTTAAGGAGTCTCTAATCACACGCAACCCAAATCTATCTGGTACCACAAGCAAAGTGGAAATTCCAAGAGAGTGTTTCTCATGTTGCCAATACAGCTATCAGCAGTATTTCCTTCTTTCAGATGATACATTAAAAAAGCTCTGCTGCTCCCCACATCAGCAAATTCCATTTCTCAGAACCAAGGATGAAGAATGAGTTTTAGTTCAGACCAGAAGGATGCTTTGGAAGGGAATTCCCTCATCCTTTTTCAGCCTCACCCAGAAGTAATCCACTCTGACAATCTGTCAAGCAGATTCTCCCGTAATTAGGAATTAGATCCCCCACCCCATCCTGTTCCAAAACAAGCTCTGAACATGCCTAGCTCCTCTTTTCCAATCCGTATTCCTATGCTACTAGGATCCAGCAGCACACAGCCAGCTGAAATCAGCCCTGCAGCCTCAGCATCTTCACTTAGTGACAGAAGTCCCAGCTGCCATGAGCTGAGCTACTCATGCTCTACAAAGAATTACTTCTCTCATCTTTCCTCGTTCACACTGGCCATTAGAAAGTGGAAGGTTTCTAAGGATCGCTCCAGCTTCTCTATGCAGTTGTCATTTTAAGACTTCACCAATATGTCCATACTACAGAATTTTCAAGTCTTACAAGATCTTGGCTCTCAATGCCACCTAAAAGGAAGTTCCACAGGCTACAAAAACTCCTCATGGTATTTTCACTTTTTTTGGTAGTCTTCATTTGCTTCAAGATCCTCTGCTGCAGTATGTGCTTAAGGTACCCATATAAATGCTAATCTCTTTATGTACTTCTTCCTAACACCTTCCTTTTAGAGTTGTTTCAAGGCAAGTGACTTTCTTTTCCGATCACCCTTCACTCTCATCAAGTTGAATGCCCCTCTTACTTCTTGGTGCTTCAAACTAATTGGATTTTTAGTCATAGGAACCCTTCGGCCATCCTTGTTAGGATGGATCCTGCTGCATTTGCATGATTTCAACAGCCTCACAGTAGGGCTCTTCGTGCCACTAAGTTCTGCCTACTGCTGTAACCACATCCCCTATGCAAGCCACAAGCACATCCCAAAGATACACACCTCTGCTGTCACCAAGGCTCCACAGTCTGTCTGAACTTGCTTTGCTCAGCTGCTGAGACCTGCAAACCTGAAGGGAACAATAGCTCTTGGAGATCCAAGTTTGGTGAGGTCCTAAAAGATGATGGCCATCTTTCCCTTAGCACACCATCCTTTATGAAGCCTGATTAGGCCGAAGTGAGAAAGCTGAGGCATCCAAGATAAACACACATAACAAAAGATGTTAGAGCCTTTGTGCTGGGAGAGGCTTAATCTTGCTAGGATCTCCTTAAACTAGGAGGTGGGGGGTAAAGAAGCTATTTTCATTGCTGAAAGACAGACTAATGAAGAAGAATAACATAAGTGGAATACAAAAAAAACCTCCAAGGAACTCCAAAGGCAACAGCAAGCCAAAGCTAACATTCCTCACTGATGGAGAACACGCTGTGATGGATATCAGCCTCGCCATCATTTCAAAATTTAAATTTCTGTTGTACGACAAATATCCTGAAATTTGAGTATAGGTTTGTAGTTCTACAGTACTAAAGAAAGAGGTATTATTACAGTATTTGTATATTAATACTAATGAAAATTCTTATTTCTTAAAAATTTTAGCCACAAGTAGTAATGTCTTATAACATCTCTGCCAAAACTAAGGGTGGAGAGAGAAGTGCTCATGTCACAAATTCTGCATCTTCTCAGTGATGTCATTAGGGTCTTTTTTAGGAAAACTACTAAAAATATGGATCCTCCTCCCCAGGCAGAGGATGCCAGAGGCTCATCTCATTTGACAACCTGCTTTCAAAGTGATGAAAAGTCTTGATGAAGAATATAAAGCCAATTCAAAAATCTCTTCTTGGCTCCTAGAGAGTAAGGCAGCCAAATTCATTTCCAACACACTCCTACTGCTCTGCATCCTGCAGGACACAATGTTCCAGCAACAGCTCTCTTGCTGGGAAAATTTACATTTGTTTGAAACACTTCTAACAATTTCTCCTCTGTCCCTGAAGTTCCATCTTGGATAAAGAAGAGGTCACAAGATTTTAGATTATTTGCCCATAACACTAATGTAGGTGTTTCTGATGATTCAATTCCACTGTTCTACCTATGGGACTAACACTGCCCACTGAGAAGATTCAAAGTTGTTCTCTTTCTTCCTTCATACTATTTCCTATTCTTTGCTCAGCTAACTACGTGGAGCCCTTATTACCAACAATCCCACAAAGACATACTTAGCCAGCTCCCAGCAGAAGAAAAGGATTAGCTAGAGTCAAAATTCCAATTCGGATAAGTAGGTCCTTTAAAATATTATCTCTGCTTCAGCAAGCCAAAGCAGCTAATCACCCCAGCAGTACTAACTCCAGATCTAGATGATTTTGCTACTAGACTTCAGATGAAAGAGGCTGTGATTTTTGCCTCCTGGCACTTCCCGCAGCAACCAGGAAGCATTTCAAAATGGAAACACCATGCAAAACCAATAAAGTTTTAACAAAGCGCTGTCCATTCCATCCCAACTTTGCCTTGCTTCAAGCACAACTAGAAGACCAGGGGTGTATTTTTAGTTTTTTTTTTTAACTTCTAAACTAATACTTTTTGACATCTG